TTATTTCATTGATATTCTTAAATAATATACCTATAACATACTAAAAAAATCACTAAAATCAGACAACAGGTTTAGGAAATTCGAGTCATCTAACATGTCCCAATTTTAAGTGTGTTCCGTTAATTTTGCTGGTGAGTGTAGTTTCCCAAGCAGAAAAAAGTAAAGAAAATCTACATTGGAATATTGGAATTTATGGTATAAGGCGGATAGAAGATTATTAAATATGGGATTTCCTAAGGATTATAAATTCTCCTTTTTATCTCTTCTGTTTCATCGTTATCTGCTTTGATTGTGGTTATAAGATAATTAGAAACGTTCCACTCTTCAAAGTTATTAATTTGATACTATATTTCACAAATTAATTACAAATGTGTAATATTAAAAGGAAAAAGTGATGCCATAATTTTGTCTGGTAATTTATATCCATATATTATTATTTGATTATTTTATTCGCATAACTGAATAATTTATCAAATTAATTGAATTTTGGTATATTTCGAACAGTTAATTAACGATTTTTTGCCCATACAGCGAAAATAATTAGCAAAATGTATTCTAACAGCTTTTATTTAACAATTCGCTGTGTCCGATTTAGTGCAATGCAGCATTTATACCGCATTCAATTACAACTGTATTATCTACGATAACGGCCAGATGATTAGGTCGTTTTTTCCATGTAAATTTAGTGTGTTTTAAATCCAACTGTTACCTGCACTTGTTCTGTCAAAATTTAAAATGTTTAATGGAAAAATGTCGACGACTATAGAGTCATGCAGACACATATTATCGTGACGGATGGATTAATCGATTTCGTGGTAACGCGAGTGATAAATTCGATAAAAATACAAAATGTGTATTTTACGACGGCCGGAAAATGTAACATTTAAGGTTTAGAGCCAAAAGTTTAAACGGCACTACTAATTCAATCTATGGATGATAAATTTACCCCCGGTTCAGATGGAGCCATTTCTCTAGAATACAATTTGGTGGCGGCAGTTCAAGATGTAATTCTTGTTTAACGAGATTTTTTATATGTTTAGGAACAAATATTCAAAGTGTTATTGCAAATATTTTCCACTGTTACAGTTTTATATATGTTGTTATTAAATTTTTTTCCGGTTTCTTACCGGTAGCTTCATTAAAAGCCGGAACATATTATTTTTTCCCATTGTGACAAAACTGTACATTCAAACATTTTCAAAAAATTCATAAGTATTTCTTAGGGTTATATCTTTATGCTGTCAGAAAATCAACAAAATTGTATGTCTGGTTTTCCCGCTTTATACTTGGAAAAAAAATTGTTTTTTTTTTAGTTTTTTCGAAAACAAAAACATGAAGTTTGCTCCAAATTTGTCAAAATACTTCTAGTTGTCACATACATATTCTCAATTTTTTTTCAAATTTTTTTAATGTGCAGTTTGTCTTTTGGGGGTGCAGATCAACCTTAACACACATTTTATTTAATATGGCCAATCTCACTACATTTGAACAAGGTCGACTTCGAGGCGATTTAATTATTACGTTTCGGATAGTAAAATACAACTTTGGAAATGTGGGTGAATATGTTTATACTAGACAATGACAATCGTCTTCGTGGCCTCAAACTTAAGTTTAAAAAGGAACTTTTTTAACAACAACTAGACAATTTTTTCTCTCTATATCGAGTGTTCTCGATATGGAATAGCCTTCCGGCTGAGATCATAGATGCTACATCTGTCAATATTTTCAAAAATAAACTGGATGACCATTTGCTCCATAGTTGAACATTTAATTTGTACTAAACACTTGCTATTATCTATGTTTTTGTACATTTATTTAGTTAGTGCTTAGTATGTAACTATTGTAATAGTAACCATTTAATTGCTCACTATACTATAACATTATATTCACATGGACATATGGGTTTTGCGATCCCTGCTCAAATTTATTGTAAAATAAAAAAAATAAATAAATAAAAAAACCCGTACTGTGGCCTAATAATGGGGCAAATATTGTAAGCCTTGAAATCGGTAGTACAGAATCAGTGATGAGTGCTTTACCATCCGGCTTTTTAACGTAAGAGATAGAAAACACAGTTACCTTGTGAAATAAAAAGAGATAAAACTCGTAGAGGTGGGAAATAATCGATTGAAACCTATAATTTACATTACATTGCATTACCACCATCGACATTCTCACACCTTTAGACGTTAGACGTGGCTATTTGACTTCAGTCACAATTATACGGATAACCTCAAAAATATTTTATTTTAATAATTTCTGATGTTAGAATAAATACTTGAATAAATTAAGATATATTATAGTAAAAAACATTCATTAGTAGCGATTTTAAATTATAAATCTTTAAATTTATTTAATAGTAAAAATAACACAACTGACTGAACTGATTTGACTAAAATAAAGGTAGGTATGTTTTGTGCGAAAACAATAATTAATGTATGTGAAATTGGTATAGTGGTTATGGACGTTGTCTATTGACGAGAAAATTGGGGTTCAATTCACACCAAGGATAAAATTTTTGTTTTATCAATAAAAAAATAATAGAAAATATGATACATATTAGGTAACAAATTGTCGAAAAACTCATTATTTACAATTTATTTTTATTCCAATGTTATAAAACGGACATACAAAATAATTCAAATTCAATTCATACAGTCTTCAGTTGTGAATCCAAAATAATTCGGTGAAGACTGTTTATATCAAATCCATCACTAAATTCTCAATGTTAATATAAATTCCTCTGTACAGGTAATGATTTTCAAAACAATTGACAACATTGAAATGGATGCGCGCGAAGCGAAGCCTTCAAGCCATTAAATAATAACATATCGAGAAGTGTTTTTCCACGGTAAACAGAAACTTTTTATTGAAAAAACAATTCGTGAAAATGGTTTTAACGGTCGAGGAAAAAGTGCAAATTGTTGTCTGGCATATGAATGGATTCTCAGACAAAATGATTAGACAACAATTTGTAAATATGTTTCCAAATAGGCCGGCTCCATCACGATCAACAATTAAAATCTATTATACGTAATTTGTTTACTTATAGATCAGTGTTCGCTCCAAGAGGAATTCGTAGACGAAGGGAGGTAAATCCAGATTTGGAACTAAGGGACACTTTGATTTGTGCAAGTATTGAGCAAAATCCTACCCAATCAACATCTCGTCTCGGAGAACAATATGGAATTTCAAGATTTAGAGTTGGTAAAATTTTGAAAAGACATGGATACCGACCCTATAAACTTTATAAATCAAACGAACAATTCCCTGGGGATCAATATAGACGTTTAGAATTTTGTCAAACTGCAATGAAAATGTCACATCAAGATGAACATTTTTTAGAGAACGTCTTGTTCACCATTGAATGTACATTTTCATTGCATGGCCGTCACAATTCAATGAATGCTCGGTATTGGTCCCGAGGAAATCCTCGTCAGATTTATGTCGCTCGTACCCAGCGTCCTCAAAAAGTAAATGTTTGGGGAGGCATAATAGGGAATCATGTCATTGGTCCATTTTTTATAGACGGTATGTTGACTGGGCGGAAATACTTTACCAATTCCTTTCGATTCCATATGGTTTCAACACGATGGTTGTCCTGCACATAATTCTCGCATCGTCAGTGAATATCTCAGTGCGACTTTTCCTAATCGATTGATTAGTGGACATTAGTGAAATTTCTGCTTATTTAAACATTTTTTGTAAGTACATTTATTTAGAACGTTCTTTTATGTTTGAAGAATTTTTACTGTATTTTCGAAAGTACGACATTGTTTTTTCAATAAGATTTTCATGTTTTACTATAAACACTTCTAATAAAGACTGAAATAAATGTTTTATGATTTAAAGCAAAACGATATAATATTTGCATAATTTCAAATTTTTAAAAAAGTAAAAACTTCGTGTAGGATTTGAACCCTAGCCGCCTGCATGAGTACATCGTGCCTTGAACCCTGATCCATCAGACTTTTATAATTCTTTAGTGACAGTTTGGGTTATTATTCTGCTGCTAATGAAGGCTTATTTGAACATATTATAGATACGTTTATTTACAATTTTTTTTTATTTTTGTAAAATTTTTACTTATTTAAACATTCTTTTAATTTTGAAGAATTTTTACTTTATTTTCGAAAGTACGACGACACTATTTTTTCAATAAGATATACATATATGTTTAACTTTAAACACTTCAAATACTAGTAACGACTGACATAAATGTTTAGTGATTCAAAGCAAAACGATCTCTGCATAATTTCAAATTATTAAAAAAAGAAAAAAGAAAACCTCATGTAGGTTTTGAACTCTAATCATCTGCGTCGCAGAGTCGAATTCTTACCACTAATCCACGAAGGATTGCTAATTATTCTGTGACAAAGTGTATGAAACTCCTCAAATCATAGTAGAAATTATTCTTGGTTAATAATTTAAAACTTTAGAATAAGTAATCACTATTAATTAAATTATTTTATTCACATTTTTGCTTTATTGTGGTCAATCAGTTTTTACTTCATCTAAATTAAAAAATGGAAATACGTCACACGTACGACGTCAAACTGTCAAACATAATAATTATGACCGAGGTGATTTAGATCGAAGGTAACGTCTAAAGGTGTGAGACTATCGATAGTCGTAATGTAATGTAATGTAAATTATAGGTTTCTATCGATTATTTCCCACCTCTACGAGTTTCATCTCCTTTTATTTCACAAGGTAACTCTGTTTTCTATCTCTTACGTTAAAAAGCCGGGTGATAAGGCACTCACCACTGTATACCAACTTCATTAAATAAAAACTACTTAGGATTGTGAGTATTGACTCATTTCTCATATACACATTGGCAACCTTTTCATCAGTTATAAAAAATAAAGTTTTTATGTCTACGATTTACACCCACTAATTTTAAACGTTTCAATCTATTTAATAAACCTTTTTACAGATTCAGTCAGCCCGTAATAAATAAGGAGGAAGGGAAGTAAAGATTAATGGCAACTACTCACCTGAACGATCTTGGTCATCTCCTGAATGTCTATGACGCCGTTGCCGTCGACGTCGTACATGCGGAAGGCCCATTTTAGTTTTTCCTCCGGCGTGCCGCTCGATGTTACATCGATCGCCAGCAGGAATTCCTGCAACATAAAAAAGGAACATGAAACTTTTTAAAAGGAAAAAGGACTCTTTTCGACTGCTTCAATATTTTATCAGATCGTGTGGACGTAGGGAATACGGGCACAGAGATATACAGAGATATAGATGAGAACGAGGACGAATTGGGTCAAATTGTTATTTTACTAACAAGCTGTTTTGACAGCATATCGAGATAAAAGTTTGGTGGATAAGTTACTTAAAAGTTATTTTCAATAGAGACGGATAAACATACTTTGAGATAACGAAGCAAAAATCGAGTAAACAAAAGATAACGAAAAGCTTTTTTAGTAAAAACCGGTCAATATACAGTGCGTCCATAAAGTATCGCATACATTTATTATTAGCTAAATAAACAGTATTAGAAATTACGGAAAAAGGTAGATTTTTTATACCTAACCTAACCTAAAATTTTTTATAGAAATTTCCAATTTCCAGTTTTCAGTTGCTGACCTGATTCTAATAATGCATAACACGTTGCTTCAAATTGGTACAGAGTGGCAAAAATTCTACGTTACTTACAAAATAATAAAAGAGGAGTCAACACATTAAAAAATTTCATATTGTTATACAACTACTTTATTAACCTATTATAAACACCTTGCATTATTTATAACACTGTCCAGTACAAATCTGTATTGTTTACGTTTTAAAGAAGGTGTTTACGTGAAAACTATTCAAGCAATTTATCATTTGCAATGTTTTTTACAAAAATGCATTTAACCGAAAGTTTAGGATTGAAATATTAATGATGATTGTTATTGGCAATAACTTCTTGTATGTAAACCAATCTCCGAGTAAGCATATTTGAATCATCAAATCATCAATTTGTAGAATGAATTAGCGATACATTCAACCGTATCATTTCACGAACAAAATATGATTGATTAGTAGGTTGAAATGTCAGTTGGTAATTTTGATTTCTTTCCTATACTACCTACTTTAGATCATCAGTGTAAGTCTACAAGCAAAAGCAAACAAAGCAGTGGTGGATTATACTTACGAATAATTTGTAGATTATTTAAAGAAAAAACGACCACTACTTTCATTATTGTTATCAGGAAAACCTTCTTAGTTTCGGTTCTCACCACATTCTTCTAAGTGTGCTCCGTCTCTTGAGCAATACCGTACAGTTTAGGCCATAGTGTCGTCTAAGGTCCGTTTGCCATTATGCTATAGTTTATTTTTATGAACGAGAGAGTAATTAGCATAATTTTAACTGGTACCTTCGACCACTCCATGGACGTGCTCAAGATTAATTGAAAAATTACTTTGAATACTTGTAAAAAATAAATGAATTATTTCAGTGTTATAAAGTGTTATGTGTATGTAAACAAAAGTGACCTCTTTTATCACACATTATATTAGAACTGACTGGCCTACATTAAAAAGGGTTTTAAAAAATTCACATATTTTTTAATTTTTAAAAATTACAAAAGAGAAAAAGAGTTTTTAAAACCGTCTAAGGTATGTTAAATAGATGAATAAAAATATTAATATTAAACTTACAGCTACTTGTTACAAATCCAAATCAGATTCAGAAGATGAACTTTCAGAACCAAGATTTATAATAACTGGCTCGATCATTTTATCAGTAATATTGTCCAGCTTCCACATTTTTTCCTCTTCTTTAATAGTGTGATTTACTGCCTTTTCCCAGTTTTCAGGTTTTACATTATTTACGGCCTCCAAAAACAACTGTTTAACATCATGAATTTTAAAAGTGGTATTTTTTCTTGAAACTTCACTCTTTATCTGTGCCCATACCAGTTCAATCGGGTTAAATTCACAATGATATGGTGGGGATCTAAGTACTGTCATTCCACGATTTTTGGCAATTTCGTATTTTTTAAATTTTTCTTTATGAAGGACACACAACGAATAAAGTTCCTTTCTTATAGATCCGGGATGGTACGTAATATTTTTTGAACTCAGCCAATTCTGCAAGTCTTTTTTTAACCACTTGGTTGTGGGCAGTCCTTCTATAAGTCTGGAGTGATAACTTGCATTATCCATTACTATTACACAGTTCTTAGGAAGAAGATCTATCATTTGTTCGAACCATTCTTGAAAGACATCAGCGTTCATGTCTTCATGATAGTCACCGGTACGAGTTAATTCAAAAGTTAATAAACCACCTTCAACAAAACCGTCTGAACTGCCAATGTGTACTATTATCAGCCTGCGTCCCTTTCCTGATGGTGGGTTTAAACCAGTAGATAAGTTATTTACAAAAGCGTGCCTTTGACTTGTAACAGTTTCATCCTGCCAAAATTTATTTGGTGTATGACCCTCGTTGATCCATGTTTCATCAAGATAAAATATTTTCTTTTTTGGTTTCTCATTTCCTTTATGGTTCTTAGAAAATGTCTTCTCCATATGACAATATCGATTCTTTCTAATAAAATAGACTTTCTGGGATTCTTTTTCCAGCGGAAGCCTATTTCTTTTAAAAGTTTCCATAACGTACTTCGACTCATTTCTGGGTAATCCTTATCATCTCGAACTGAGACAAGAACTTTATCCAATGTTGGAAATTCTTGTCTAAAGAAGAATTCATGCACTTTCCGTCGAAGTCCTTCTTTAAAATGATATTCTATTTGAAATTTTTGTTTCCCTGGAGCATTACGTGGCATTTGAAAACTACCACATTTCTCTTATTTAATAACTCTGTAAATCGTAGATTTCCCAACACCAAGTGTACTGCTAACTAACTCAACGGTCTCATCAACACTTTCACATAAACGTTTGTCTGTAAATGATTTAAAACAATTAAATATTAATGTTTTTTCATTAACTGTTAATGGACCAATTTTTCGGCGTTTACACGGCACTTCCCAATTTTCCATAACACTAGTATACACAATAAACTGCACCTTGCAAATGAAGTACCTACTTTTAGTGAACTGTTAAGAATTTTGAATACGCCTCTTGGACCTTCCTACAAAATGGAAAAACCCACTATCACATTTTCTGTGGAATAAGTTTAGAAGGTAATTATCTAGTCAATTACTTTCGTAGATTCCTGGAATTAAAGAATTGAATGTTTGATTGTTGAAACCCTTACTTCGTGGAATGCACTCATTTCAGATAAAATAAAACGTTTTATTTTATCTAAAGAATTAAACTTTATTTTGCAAATAGGTAGGTACTTATTAAACTTTTATTGGTTATATATAACCAAGAAAATAAACATCTTACATTTCTTGCAAATTCATTAGTACCTGTTAACCTCCATCACTCTGACACTGGCAACCTTATTTAGGGATTAGTAACCCTCACAACTATTGTATTCTATTCTGCTCCAACCTTTATACCTGGTGGTCATACTCAATTTAAAATTGTTTTCCTATATACTTCTGTAAACTTGTTGACAAATATCTGTTTTTCATTGAGTCACCCGTATCAACAGTTTAGGGATTTGCATACATAATTTATTATTTTATTACTCTCTCATATATAAAAATACACTATAATTTCAGCACTGACTTCAGTACTAAAATTATTAGTTATAAATAGTTGCGAGAGTCGATTTAGTATGAAAAATGTGTGTTTGTGTTTGCAACCTATCTTAATTTTAATTAGTATGTAGGCATGGGTTTTACCAATTTTCTATTGATAACCTAACAATGAAGTTCGTTTTACGATTAGAGTAAACAAAATACACAGGTAATTAAAGATTATGAAAAAGAAGCTAAAATTATGTGCAGTAGATTTAATTGTAATAATGATGCTAGCAAAAAAGACAAAAATCATGCGCTTCTTAATAAAAGTGTTAGGCAAAGGAATATTAAATATGTTAAATAAACAATTATTTGTAGAAGACCCTTTGTCATATAAAAATCTTTTACGAATGAATAAAAATTTGTTTAAAAAATTGTTACTATTAGTAGAAAATAACCTCACTTTTAGTTATTATATTTCATCATATATAGATATTTCATCATTTTTAGTACAAGAAATGCTCTAATTTTTAGTACCAAATCGGCGCGCGTATCTGATTTGTAGATACAATATTTTTAGCACTAAATTCAGTACTGAAGTTAGCATAATGGCAAGCAGACCTTACAGTAAAGAAAAATTCCTCTGTAAAAGAGATATTTTTCGTTTGTGCAATTTTTGTACAATTAAGCAAAATTCCAAATACTTGCAATAAATATGCACGATCAGCAAAATGTGCGTTTTGAATATTTACATAAGTTATTAAAAAAAAAAAATTCTCTTTGGTCGTGCCTTTTAACGAAACTTTTTTTAATAAATTGATAACACATAAATTAATATACCCACAAGATTAAGTTTTATATAAAAGCATGAAGTTATCAGAGTTAAACATCAGCGATAATTTACTCCATAACTTCGTTCATTAGACGCTTCATCCCTTATGGAGAAGCAAGCAAATGTCATTTATTAAATATCGATCGCCAAACTCTATTTAATACGAAATTATTACCCTATTAAGCTTTTCTAATTAAATATAGACATTAATTACAACTAAGTACGTGAATCTTTACGTATTCCTATGTGAAGTATATATATATATATATATATATATATATAATATATATATATATATATATATATTATATATATATATATATGAGTAAGAAAAAAGAAGTACTTGTGACTCGTTTGGAAAAAATATAAAACTGTTTTTGATGGGTATTGTTACGTAAAAAAGTATATGTGTCATATCAAAAACCGTAAACATATTTATTCATTCACGAATTTTCTAGGCCAAATACTACCGAATTCTCCAGAAGGGTCGAATATCAGGTACCAAGAATGCAGCCGGCGTGACCCTTCGAATTTACCAGAAGGCGATCGACTTTTCTAGTCTAGCTGAACGAGTCACCTAATGGATGGAAGGTCATCGATGCATCGCCAGACCCTTCTAGATAACGGCATTTCATATAAATAACGGGGATTCTCATTGAGAAGGGTTAGTCAGTAAGAAGATAAATTCGCGACGGGTATTTAAATGTAA